ATTTGCTATGTGTTAATTGTTGAGTACGACGTATAGGTGTGATGACGAGTATCTATACGTCGGTGTCAAGCATGCCCGTGAGTCTTATATTATGATTGATGTGACTCCGTTTTGTATTGTCCATGCTTAATATGATAATTTCTAATATTGAACAAGGCTTATCGAAGTGTTCTTGGTAATTGAACGTTGTACAGCATTGGCTCAAGTTGAGTATGGAGTTGTGAAGTAATTGTGGAAAAGAGAAGAGGTTTATGGTATTGTTCCCTTGTCGGGATGTTATTGCTTTTGATATTATTTCCCTTGCTGGGACGTTATTGCTTTTGATATTATTTCCCTTGTCAGGATATTATTGTTATACTATTGTTTCCTTGCCGGGATTCTATTGTGATTTTATTGATTCCCTTGCCCGAGTTGCTTTGTGATTGTTGTTTGGGTAAGGAAGAGTATAAAAGCACGAAGGGTGATGCCGTGCAGATATTTATGAGTTAGTGTTAATGCACGAAGGGTAATGCCGTGCAGATATTTATGAGTTAGTGTTAATGCACGAAGGGTGATGTCGTGCGGGATATTTGTGAGTGAGTGTTAATGCACGAAGGGTGATGCCGTGCCAATATTGTGATTATTAATGCACGAAGGGTGATGCCGTGCCGTATGATATACAATGCCGTGCCATGATATGAGTGATAATGCACGAAGGATAATTCTGTGCCATGATTATGTGAGGTAAAAGCTCGAAGGGTGATGCCGTGCCGTATGATATACAATGCCGTGCCATGATATGAGTGATAATGCACGAAGGATAATTCTGTGCCATGATTATGTGAGGTAAAAGCTCGAAGGGTGATGCCGTGCCGAATATATTGATTTTTATGGTGAGAACGAGAGTAAAAGCACGAAGGGTGATACCGTGCACGTGTTATTGTCTTCCTTATTCTTGCTCATAATTGATTTATGGTGTTCCTTATGTTTCTTTACTGAATTTCTGTTTGTACATGATATTTCTCCGAGCATGTTTTCCCTTCCCATCTTTAACTGTTAGATTCTGTAGTTATTATTTGCTGTATATGATATAACTGCACAGGTTTATTTGGTAGTCTTGTCCTAGCCTCATCACTACTTTGTCGAGGTTAGGCTCGACACTTACCAGCACATGAGATCGGTTGTGTTGATACTATACTCTACACCGTGTGCAGATCCCGATGATGGAGCTTTTGGACCGCAGTGAGGTTGCCGCCTTCAGTCCATCAAGAGACCCGATGTAGTCCTGCAGGCGTCCGCAGGCCTTGGCGTCTCCTTCTATCTTTCCATTATGTTTTTTTTTAATGTATTTCAGAGACATATTTGTCTTTATCTTTCAGACCACTGTTTGTGGTATTCGTAGATAGTCCGTGACGTTGTGACACCAGATTCTGGGTAGAGTTGTATGTTGGATTCTGTACTACTCCCTCCGGTCCAAAATAAGTGATTTTTTAGCCTTTTTCTTGTGGTCCAAAATAAGTGATTTTTCCAGATTTCAAGAATGAATTAATTATTTTTTTCCTACATTGTCCTTGGAATAAATAGTGTTGGAATATGTGTTAGGAGTGTTTATGTGAGATAGTAAAGGTTAATATGGTCAATTCCATTGCTAATTAATTCTAAAAGGTGGATTTCTTAATCTGTGTGAAAACATCCAAAAAATCACTTATTTTGGACCGGAGGGAGTAGTATATGGTTAAACTATTAGTTTTTGTTTTCCGCATTTCTGTTTATTATAATTATTCTGCTGTTGATCACCTGTTATATTGAACTGTTAAAAAGGCTAAGAAAAAAAGGTTAATGAATATATAATACTCGACTTGCCTAGCTTTCACGAGCAGGTACCATCACGACTTTCGAGGGTGAAAAATCCGGATCATGACAAAAAATTTCCTCACGGAGAGTGCAACAAGCCTAAACTACAAATTTCAAATCCTGGTGGAGCTTCCAGTGCTCCATATGTTGTTCCTCTGTACTTGTAAATAATGATTCTGGAAATTAGAACGTTAGCTTATAAACGTAAATATAAATAAAAAACAGAAATTAATTCGAGCCCACTGAATTCACAGTGTTTCCTTAAGGAATTTAATCCCCTCCTAGTACCCAAGGTTATAGATTATTTCCTCCCAGGATAGAACGAATTACACACTGGTGTAGCGGTACTTCAAACCCCAGTGTTTCAACGAACACAAAGTTCGGCAACAAATCACACTTATGGATGCTTTGTTTGTAGTTAAAAACAATGCAGAATAAGGAGGACAACTCAGAAGTCGAATGGAAATTCTGAGAGGAAGGAATGCAAAGTATAGCCAATGTTGAATTCTTACTGAAGAGAATATCAAATTGCAATTCGTTTTTCCAGTGTATACGCAGTGTATACAGAGTGTATATCCAGTATATGCAGAGTGTATATCCAGTGTATACAGAGTGTATATTAAGTGTATACAGAGTGTTTCAAGTGTTTTTTCCGATGTGTTCTTCTTTCTCTCCAACTTATGCTCTATTTATAGCAGTTATTTGAGAGAAATCTGCCCCTTCCATGGTGCAACAAGCACTAGATCATGGAGAAAGCACTTACATGGTGGTATATACACTTGCTTGGTGGGAGGAACACTTGCACCATTGTGGGAGGTGCACTAGGCTGCATTGTTGCTTAGTGTTGCAACACAATACACGGATTGGAAAATATCCGTTACAAACACGGATTATATCACGTTAATATTCACTATTAACAAATAAATTTGGTCCAAAAAATTAATCAATCGATCGATCATTTGACCAAATCCGAATCCAAATCTCATTTCCCATTCACTCTAATTTTAAGACTATTTCATCTTAAACAAAAACTCAACACCATCTTGTTCTTCACCTCCTCAAAATCACTCACACACCCATCCAATTTTAAATTTTCCGTTTAGCAAGCACCAAGCTTTTTACCAGCAACTCCATCAAATATTTTCTTCCACTCAACATGAGCATCACACAGCTCGAGCGTGTTCTACCCCAATCTATCCAACCACGATTTTTGTCCAGTCCATTCATGACTAGCTCACCAATGCATGACCCGGTGCATGCAGGTGTGCAACCCCGACACTTGGGCCCACTTAAGTGGACTCGACTAGAAAGGCGCTGCTACCGGAAAGCCAACATGGGAGGGTGGTAGAAATTCATATTGACGATCCGTTACAACACAAACGGATCATCGTCAAATAATCCTCTACCAGGTCTAAATATTGCAGCAGCCCTTGCAATCAATATTAATTTCATTTTCACAGGACATAAATAATATAAGGGCAAAAATAGAGGGTAGCTTGCCGCAATTGCCTATGTGCATGGGCAGTGTCCAGATCGAGTGTGGACAAGTTGACAAGAAGTAAATGTTGAGCGTAAGAGCAGCAGACATGCGAGCTAAGTCATATATGCCTTTGGTGCTTGACAATTTAATTATTACACTAAGATGTGTTTGGAACGATTATATTTTTCAATTTTTTCATTATTTGGTCGATTTAATATCTTGAAAAATATTTTCATCATAAACTCATTTTCTCTATCCGGAGGGAAAACATTTTTCAAAATTCTTTCTTAACCTTCCTCACCCTATTCTCACTCCCCACCCCATCCCATACCCTTGCCACCCCACCCTCCCCTAACATCACCACCGCCAACCAGGCCCCTAGACTCCGGCCTACCACCATTCCCTGTCTTTATCCACTTCGTCTCATATAGTGTTTGTCTAAAGTATATATTTTTCAAGAATATTATTTATTGCCTAACCAAACACCAAAAAATAAGTTAAAAAAATCAGTTATTTTTTCAAGAAAATATTTTCCAAGGAAAACATGTTCTTCCAAGGAATTTTTTTTTCTTTATCCCAAAAACACCCTAAATACTAGAGATAGGCAATACCTTTTTCTTCGTGCACACTAGGATAGAACATATTACACATTCACATCTCGTTTTTATCTTCCCAAGAAATCCATCTCTCTCTCCTTTTCTTAGTGGGAAAATTGCAAATACCTTTACTACCCACCTATTTTAAAATATCATTTTACTCCAACAAATTTGAATATTTGATCCAAACAAGTATGATTTCTAAAAATCGAAAATTGCATTAATTATGTGATATTGTTTGTTTTGGATTATTTCTTCGTGATTTTGTTCAAAAGTTCTCCAACCATAAGAGTATCACTACATTTTATCTAGCTTCATTTTCTTATCAACTAGCTTGCAACGTAACACTTTATTCACAAATCCAATATAGATGCCTTCGAGAAATGTATCGGATGCAACGAGTATGCTATTACCATCCTAACCAACAAACCACTTTCGCCAAAAAAGGACATCTCTATGTAAATTGTTGCTCATCAAGACTGATTAATGTATAGTACTCTTTTCTCCAAGACCTAGAAAAGGAAAAAAAACAAGTTCAAAGGAAGGAAACTAATTTAGTTTTTTTTTTTTCAGATTTTTCATCTGGTGTCTATCCGTTTTGGAAATAGAATAATCGAGATTTGTGCCTAAAATTTTCGCTTTTGGGAGTAACGCTCCCAATACTAAAAATGACTTCATTTTCACCTTTGGGGGTGTGGTTTAGACCGAGGATTGAGCACGACGACTCTTTGAAAACTTAAGGATGCACTGCTGAAAAATAAGCCTATGGCAACGGAAATTTATGCAACGGTTACACAACCGTTGCCACAGATCCTCTATTACCAAAGGTTTTTCGATGCTATTAGTACACTTTAGCAACCAAACCGTCATTGTATAATAACCGCTGCCGTACGTTTTCCTATAGCCACGGTTTCTTTAACTGTTACAATATATCTATCAGCCGCAACTATTTTTTCCAAAAAATATTTATAGGAACGGTTATTGTTCCCTCCTAAATTTTTTCGCTTAGCCCGCCAAATCTAGTACTCTCTTTTTAAACCTTTTTATTTTATTTTTAATATGTAATATATAGTCAAAACCCACAATTTTTATTTATTTTCTAAATAAAAGTAGATGTGGCCTAGCTCCAGTTACGTTTTTTCCCCAAATCTGAACCCTTTAGCTCCAATCAAGTTTTCCCCCAATTACTCTAATTTCTCATACCCATTTTCCTCTTTTCATTTTACTCTGCTCCAGTCACATTTTTCCCAAATCTGAACTCTTTTCACTTTTCCCTATCTCCAATTACGTTTTTGGTTTTCCCCAAATCACTCTAATCCCTCAGACCAATTTTCCCCTTTTAATTTCACTGTTTGAAATCCCTCAAAATCCAGTCGTCCGGTGAGAGATCTCCAGAAGATCTGTGTCCGTTTTGCTAACATTCAGACTATCTGCTCAACATCGTCTTATTCAACCCACGAACTCGGCAGTTGGTGATTTCTATAGCAAAAAATCTTCGAGCAAAAGGCACTCCGTGAGAAACTGATTTTAGCTGTAAGTTTTCCTTTTTCAATTTGGGTATTTTATTCTTTAATCGTTCCCTTTTTTCTATAATATTTAGGGTGTGGTTGTGTATTTAATATTTTGCTTTCTATTGATTTTTTGAACCCCAATTGTTAGGGCTTTTTTTTAGTTAGGGTGTGGCTAGTGTGAGTCTAAATTTTTAGAACTAATGTTCCTGTAGATAATCTGCCAAAGATAATTTTTTAAAAAGGTCAGTCTTTTAGTTATGTTTGCTTTTGATATCTTGAATTTATTGACACTCTTATCTTAGTCTATTTTTTGTATTGCATTCACTCTATATTTGGATTTTTCCAGAAATTGACTATAAACATTAGTATATGGATTTATGCTATCAATTGGCATAAACTATGTTTCATAAGGTCTTTGAGTTGAATTTAGATGCCATTCTGACAGGGTGTAATTATGAAAATTTCTTATCGTTCATTACTGGCTTATCGAGTTGGTAAACCTGCTCTAACTTTAGAGTGTCAACTCCTGAGTTTTCGAATGCTCGAGGGTGTTGGGGCTTAAGATATAGTGCTAAAAGTCTTAAATTCAGTATTAAGGTAAATGCTTAAAAATTAAACTAGTCGTACTACCTCACTCAAATTCAAAATTTATTTCATGAGATGAGAATTGTCCAAAATCATATAAGAAAATAATTATTCATTCGCTCGATCGTGCGGCCTTAACAATTGTCAATCATAGAAAGAAGAATTATTGCTTCATGCTAGGTGTAGCTGCAATCAAACCTGTCAAATTATGTCTATTTACTAGTAGCCAAGAATTATTGCTTCATGCTAGGTTTCTCTTAATTAGCAGCCAAGTTTGGATCTTAACGCTCAAGTCGTGTGATAATTTTTCATGAAATGATCATTCAGTAAGTTTCTAAAGTAAATGATTAGAAAATTACTGTTAATGTCAATCTTATAGTCAAGATTACTGTCCCTATACATCTAAAAAAATTATTCTTTTTGATTATTAAGAAACTTATATAGATTTCTTTAACATATGAGATCAGGATAGTTCTTTTAGAGTTTTCAATTTGCTACAAACAGTAAAAGAGATAAAGGTAAGTAGGTTTTATACTAACCTAATTGCACTAAATTTGCAGGAAAAATATAATATTCCTGACGAGGCGAAAACATGGGCTTTTGAATCAATTGGTACTGCTTGGAGAAAGTATAAGAATCAGTTGAAGAAAAACCACTTTAAAGCCTATGAGAATGACGAGCATCGAATGGAGAATAGGGCGGTAGATGTTCCGGAGTATCACTTAAAGGATCTTCTTAAATATCGGAACTCCGATCCCCACAAGGTAATTATTTTGTGCAATTTTAGTTTTCCAAATAGCTAGCCATCCTTCTAACATTCTTCAGTGTTTCTGGACTAACAAAAGCTGAAAATTATGTCTTAGCGGTTGGAAAAGGATTTGGAAATACAGTTGGTTTCACATCCAAATCTAGTTGTGTGCGAGCACATGGCCTCTTACATGTTAACCTGGATTGTATTCAGCCTAAAATAAATTTCTGTCTGCTATTACAAACAAAATTTGAACAAACAGAAACAGTGAACACACAAATGAATATGTTTTCAAGTTTCCCTACTTGTAGAGTTTGAATGAGATTCAACTACTTAACATCATATGTTTATAAGTAGAAACTTGCATGATATAAGGTATTAGAGAGGATGAAATCATATCAACTCTGCTAACTATCGATGAACAGACACACTAGCCACAAAGCCCATAATCAGGGGGTATGCTTAATTGGAAAACTAAAATGTCTCCCCCACATGTTGGCAAAGGATGTAAAATGCAGTTAGTCACATGATAATGCTTTTGAGTTATGTAATCATTTTAAATCCAAGCATGATAATTCTATTTGGAAAAAGGAATAATATGCTGCACGATAGAGGAGAAATCTACAACAAGATGGAACAATGAATCTTGAAGTACGCCTTCCTCAGGAATGGACGTACTGACTTTCTTTATTTTTAACTTTAAAGGTTTATCCGGAAATGGTCTTTAGGTTAATTTCCTTTTGGTATTAGGAAGGATTGCAGTTAGAAAATAGATGGTCCAGTGACAGAATATCCAAAGTCAGTATTTTGAAAGAAACAAAATCTCTGAATTACAAGGAAATGGTTTCTGGTAATCAGAAGAAAGGCAATAAGTGATGTTTAGTTTCTTTAAGCTTAGTCTATTAGAATATGAAATGTTAATGACGATTATTTCCTAGGAGTAATTTATTTTGGGTGCCTGATAAAGAAGATCAAGCAGCACATAGGGGGTAGAACAGGGGAGTTTCCCTCAATTTTTGTTTGTATAATAAGTGAAATTCATCTTGTGTTTGGAGGGAAGTGTGGAAATTTCATTGTAATGTCCAGATGGTACTCTGCACAAACTTTGTAGGGTTGAAGATGCAGATCCATAACCCTCCTTGTAATGCATATCGCTATGTATTACAATAATCAATTAATATTTTCTAAGTTTGTCACGTAAAAGATTAAACTCTGTTCAACACCCTTGTATTGCTATTGCTTTTGTTGTCCATGTGGTATCTCATTTTGCAACAGAGAACTCTGGCATTAGTGAAAATGAATTGGGAAGAAACTGCCCTTTCTATACTAAGAGGGCTCAAACTAAATGTGTTATTCATTAATCATTTATTTTAATTTTCTAACTTTTGTAAACTTGATAAACATGAGCTTCTGCCTTACCTTTCTGCCTGTTGGTGTTTGGTTAAGATGTTAATCATATACCTTTCTTATTGCTTGTACTTTTAAGGAATGCAAGTTTGTCTGCTTCGTTGCCCTAAATTATGTTCACTTTTGCAAAATTGTGAGTTGAAGTATCTTCTAGAGTAGAAAATATTTAATCTCATCTTTGTTTCCTGTAAATTCCTGGGAAGTATTACAATGTGCAATAATTAAGTGGATGTATTAGCTTGGTTTATCAGGATGTTTAATGGTTGTCATCACGACTCGCTTGTGAATCAATTTCTAGGGAGTCAACTGATTTAGTGTAGGGACGTGATTCATGACTATTAGACCTAATATTTTACAGGTTGTTTGATAACTAGCTTTTCTTTGAATATTTTCATGTATAATGCACAATATTTTATATACTGTCACATATTCTAATCTTTAGGTAAGTGAAACACCCTTCAAATTCTTGTTTGATGCACTCCCTTGTTTTTTTGGACTAAGAGAATGTTTAGACCGGATTCTCTTGAAGGATAATGACTTTATTTATACTCTTTCGTAGGTGGAGTAGATGAAGAAATAGAAGACGAAAACAATGAAGATCTAGACCTTACTTAAGAAGAATTTTGAATTGCTGTAGATGCATGGTCTAGAATTTTTTGTTGTTAACATTTTGAAACTTACTTTTAACTCTTGAAATGTAACACTTCTCTACTTGGGGTAGAACATTTCACTCTTATGGATATTATTAGCTTGTTGGATAATTTTGATTATGAATAGTTTCATTTTGTTATTTATATAAGTTTTTATGTTTTATAATTTATTCTATATGTAAATATTTATTTACAATAGGGGCAATATGTTTGTTTCAATTAAACTGTTACAATAGTCCACCAGAACCGTTGCAATAGGAATCATATGGCGTTCCAATAGAAAATGTAAACCGTTGCAACAGGACCTGCAAACCGTTCCACAAGGATCTATATCACGACAGTTCAAACCGTTGCAATAGCTTAAAGAAATCGATCTTTCTTTTTCTTTACTTATTTTCTTTATTGAATGATTGGCTCAATAGCTTTCTTCCTTCAATTAGAAAAGGGGCTAATGGAAACTCAGGAGCTTCACTCAGAGCTATTAAGCTCTTTGGGGGAAGTCAGAAGTTCTTCCACTCGGAATTGCATCAGAGAAGAAAGCTCCACAGAAGACTCCGAAGGAGTAGGAATTGGCTCACTAGGTTCTTCAACTAAAAAGTAGTCAAATCGCAAAACTCCTTACTACAATCCTCCTTCGATGCCTACTTACTTAGGTCTAGCTGACCCAGCTTGAAGTCTACCAACCTGTTGTGGTAACTGATTTTAACCATTGCACTTGATACAAATAGTCATTCCAATTGGGGAGAGGAAAAACCGTTGCGATAGACCATATTATAGCAACGGTTATATGAACCGTTGCAAGAACCGCTCCTTAAGCTCTATTACAATGACTTATCATCCAAGTATTAACAAAAAGTTCTAAAGAAAAAGAAAGCACTAGACAAAGAGAGAAAGAGACTCTTCGCAAAATGATCGTGCTATGGGAAATGTGGTATTTGATTAAGCATGTTTCACACTTTAAAATTTCTAGATTTTTAATAAAAAGGGGGTAGTGATCAAAAGGGCGTTCAAACCTAAAATTATCAAAGACTTACTAAAGAAATCAAGATTAAGAGTATGTTAATACAAAAAGAATTGAAGAAGAGTCTCAAATTCTTAGTTGCCATTGCCGAGTCAGAGTGATTGTTGAAGAATGTTGTAGCAAAAGGATTTGTATTTTTCTATTTGTGGAGCGATAAGTTGCAATTTGAGGATTTCAATTTTAAGGGAGGAATTTGAAAAAGAACAAAATTAATTAAGTTGATTATTTTGTATTAGTACTAAACTATAACTGAATTAAAAAGAAGATAAAAGTAAAAAATAAAGCAATTTGCTATTAAATATAAATTACATTGTATTCAAAGAACTAAAATAGAAAAGAGGAGAAAAGGAGGAGAAAAAGTTTCGCACCCGCATCACGAGCAAAGGAGGGAATTTATGCTCCAACAACAACCGCTTCTCCCATCTGCCACTCCGCATCTGGGGGGCACCATTATAATATTTAAGGTGTCACATACATAAGCGCGCACGCGTGCGTGCATATATATATATATATATGCCGAGGCTAACGGGTCCCGTGACCCCTCAAGCCGCAACTTAGGTCCGCAATTCTTACTCCTTCAGTTGTTCATTCTATCTATACCTGTTCTATTTTCTACATTTCTTCTCTAGAGAAGTATTAACATACCTTATGTTGTCAGTTATCTTTCAATCGCATAACTCAGATTGCTTACAAGACGAAGAGAGAAAATAAGGTTGTCGACTGTCGTGCAAGTACTAATGATCAAATCTCCAATTATATATAATTCAATCATAAAAATGTCACTTTGAAATTTTCCTCTTTTCAATCATAATATGATTTTCTTCTGTTGGTTGGTATGAAATTCAAATGAAATAATGAAAGACATGTCTTCTGCAATTTAAATATTGGAATACCAATTTAATATAAGATATTATGCACCTTGAATTAAAAAAAAAATTAAAAATCTAAGTGCATGGGCGAAAAAATTCATGTCATGTGTTTTACCCAGTCAACTACGATAAAACTTTTGAAGATTGTAACGTGTCAACCTGACCCCAAAAGGTCGAGGTCAGGTAAGGGAGATAAATCGTTGTCGAGGTCGAGAAGGTTTAACAAAAAGATGAGGATGAGGGCTAGGACGAGCATCCGCTTTTGGTACGAAGTGATGACCAGTTTTATGATTTAGATACCCTAGAGAATATTCTAATGGATATTCCTTTTTGTTGTACTATCTAGGGTTTTGTGACTCATGTATCCTTATATAAAGGAAGAGATGCAGTTTAAAGGGAGGATCAGACCTTTTATAAAGAATATCATTAATATTCTCTGTACAAGATTCTCACTTTATTGAATATAAACAAAGCTTAACTTTACATTTTCTTTCTTTTACTCTTCTCTCCCGATCCAAGAAGAATCGGAATATTCAACTGTTTATCACCATCCATCATTGTCAGAAAGCATATTTGAAGATCTCACTCTTATCGGGTGAACTTTGTCTCATTTATACCATTTATTTCTATCTTTTACGTTTTTAAGCTTTTATTGCTCTATCATGGTCCCAAGATAATTTCGTCTAACACTACACATTAAATATTCGCCCTAAAAGTGCTAGATCTGCTATTGAATTTTAATATTAGTTATGATTAATCCTATTTTTCTATAAATTTAATTGTATAAAAATCTAGATCTATTTTTTTGGATTATACAGTTTGGCGCAGTCTGTGAGGATATTATAGCCGAACCATCAGTTTTCAGTCTGATCTAAAATGGTTATAACTTATTTACCTAACATACTGTAAAACTATCATTTTTCTCTTTGCACATAATGATTCCATAGAAGGTAACCAAGGAAAGATCAACCAAGGAAAAGGAGCAAGAGCAGTGGACAATGTGCGATGGAGGGTACGAAACTTAAGATGAATAAGTAACCCCACGACATCCCCCAGTTTAGGGAATTCGCTGATACCCTTCTGTAGCACGACCAAACCAAACGAAAAAGAGGCTTCCACGTCCGCAGAAGAAGGAGCACCACACGCTATTAAAAAACTCCTAGAGGCTTGACTAACCGACAATTTGGTCAGCGTGATGAGCAATCAGGTCCAGTGTATGACCGAGGAAACCTCGAGTATCCCTACAACCCAGCATAAGAATGGGCGGGACGACCAACCGAACCCTCCTACTTCAGGTAATATCCATACAATTACTGACATTGCAGGTGATAGCGTCCTCGCCGCCGTGAGAGCGCTCAATGCATCAAGAACATGTAGACTAGATATCGGGTGCTCCCAAATTGATACCAAAAAAAGACACTGACAGGTTTATGAAGCAGCCGTATTTTGCTTTGCAAAGCCTGCTTAAAGCTAGCCTCAACCTGGCTTATGCCTTACAAAGCCTGCCCCAACCTGGCTTTTGCCTTGTAAAGCCTGCCTAAAGCCAGCTTAAAGATAGTTGTAGCCAGGCTCTTTTACATGATAATATTGATGATCGACCACATGATTTATACTTGGATATAGTTAGTACACTACCTATGGAGATCATATTGTAGCAACCCTAATGATTGGAAGACTATGCTGGCTTCAATTCTGTGGTGGAGATGTTTGAAATTCATTTTAGCCCATGGACTAAATACCCTGGGGCCTGGTGAGAGCTTGATAGGTGCTGCTTGGTATTTGCCCTGGCAATTTGATTCACATACACTGATAGGAGAAGGAAGCATTTAGCGGATAATATTGTAATAGCTAGTTCATCAGACTTGAGCTTTTCTATCTTTTTAGTAGCTAGTAGCTTCATGCAACTTCTATTTTGGTTTGGACATATTGTAAGCTTTGGACTCATTTTGGAATTTTATTTATATATTAGCCACTAGGCAGCCTGCCTAGTGGTATATTTGCTATAAAAAAGTAGCCGTATTAGGAGGAAGCATCTCCTCATGCTATACTGAAAACTTTCAAAATGCCCCCGTACCTCAGAATCTATGATGGGACATCTGATCCCAAAGACCATGTAACCTATTACGTCACCGTAGTGAAAGGCAACGACCTCACCAAAGAACATGTGTTCTCCATCTTGTTGAAAAACTTTTGGTGAAACACTCACAGTAAGGGCATTGACATGGTATTCACACCTTTCAATAGAAACATTTGAAGGAATGGCGGATAAGTTCGTAGTGGTGCATGATGGGGCCAATAAAGCTGAAATAAGGGTAAATGATATCTTTGCCATCAGGCAATCCCCAGAGGAAGGGCTGAGGGACTTCTTAGCTTGATTCAATAGGGTTAGGATGACCTTACCAAATGTCTCCGAAGGAATGACCATAGAAGCTTTCCAGAAGGAGCTAAATAGAGAAGGTTCAAAGGCGACTAGAAAGCTACTAAGCCGATTGTTGAAGTACCCACCAACTACCTGGGACGATATCCACAATTCCTATTGTGCCGAGGTTAGAGCAGATGATGAAGACCTCAATGGGCCAACCCGGCGACTCATCTCAGTACAATCCGAACCCAAGAGGGAACGTAGGGACAACATAAGGAGAGAGCCTATAGTGCCATGATCAGGCAGAGGTCGACATAAACCTTATATCAGACCATCTGTCCCTAACTTCCTTTGCGAAGAGCCCCTTCAGGCAGGATCAAACATCCACAGAAATGACCGAGGTATGGTCCCCTTACTATCCACTCATAAGTTTTTCATGTCACCTATAGAGGTGGTCTACCCACTCGAGAAACTCGGACCAAAGGTGAAGTGGCTACCAAAGATGAGGTCCGACCCAAGCACAGGGAAGTTGGACACCTTCTTTGAGTTCCACCAAGATCGAGGACATAAGACGAACGACTGACACGCTCTAAAGTTAGAAGTGGCGACTTTGCTGCAACAAAGAAACCCCAAAGAGTTGTTCAATAACAAAGGCAGGAACACCTTATCAAAGGGACGAGAACGCCCAGGCCTGCCAAAGCCGTCGTCTACCGCTTGTACCATCAACATAATTATTGGAGGCAGTGACAACATTACCGTCAATGGCATCAAGTTCACCATCACTCACCAAATCAAGAGATTGATCACCCATGAATGGTATTACTGCCTCAGAGAGTATCATCTTTGATGAGTCAGATACCGACAGTTTGATTTTCCCTCAAAACTATGCA